AGCTGGACTAAGCTGGGGACCTGCCCACCACTGGCTGCCAACACTGGTGTCTTGTGGGGGTGGGGAAGGGATGCAAGGAAGGAAGGGGAAATTTTCCAAGGGGGCTCAGCCCGGAACTGTGAAGGGGGGATGGGACCAAGGCAGGAGCCACCTCAGGGCACAGACTGTGGTGGGGAGGGCAGAGACCTAGTGAACAACCGTGCAGGGGCAGGAAGAGAGAGCTCTGGGGGGCAAAGGAGGGGGTCGAGTGGGTACAGCCGGAAATAACGGCCTGGGGGAGGGAGCCAAGGAAGACCAACCCCCCCACACACACCGCACGGACACATACCATACCACACACGCACCTCACACATACGCACATGCCAAGGCTAGACAAACGCCGCCAAGAGCCACTTCCCGTCCCAAGGGGCAGGGGGAGGAGGGGGAGAGGAGGGGCGGCGGGGCCCGGCCCGGATCCACAGGGGCAGCGCGGGGCGGGGACGGCGCGGCTGGGGGGGGTGGCCCGCCCCACACCCCCGCCCCCCGGTCCGGAGGCGGCCCAGCCTCCCCCGCCCCCCCGCGCTGCCACCATTGGCCGTTGCCCATGCCACTCCACCCCCCTCGCCCACCTCCTATTGGGCAGCCTCTTTGTCGCTCCACGCCCGGCCCACCCCCTTCCCCAGTCTATTGGTTCCGCTCCCGCGGGTTCCGCTCTCAGTGGTAGGGGGTGCCGTTACTCAAAGGGAGCCCCGCCCCATGTGTTTTCTCATTGACCGCTCCTCATTAGCCCCGCCCCACGCCATTATTTATTGGTTGGGCTGACCGAGTGACAGCCCACGGGTATAGCCCATTGGTCGCCTGGCGGGACATTGAGGGGACACTCGTAAGTTCAAGCGAGCCCTACCTCTTCTTCCTTGCTGTTAGGCATTAGAGATATCAATCACTACACGTCCACGGTATTGGCTGGCCAGACAGTCCATCTACATTAGACCCGCCCCCTCGTAGAGGGCCGCAATGATCCCTCATGGCCAGGTTCCGCCTTCCCGCGCAACTCATTCAATCACCTGCCTGTCGCTCAGCTGGTAGTCCCGCCTCTTCTCCATCCCTATTGGCATCTCCCGTTCTCCCGCCATGGGATAGGCCCGAGAGCATTGAAGGCCTCGTTCGCTGATTGGAGAGAAGCTGCCAGGATCCTGGCTGGGGATTGGAGGGTTGGGGCCTGCAGTTCCGGGGTGGGAGAACACTAACCGGGGCTGGGGGGTGCTGCCAAGCCAGCAGCTGGGTGGGCGGGGCTTGGAGTTAGATTGCCTTAGTTCTCTCCCAACTGTGGGAAGGGAGTGGGGTTAAGTGGTTAGAACAGGGGTCTGCGAGCCAGGACGCCTGGGTTCCTTCCGAGCCGTAGGAGGGTGGCGAGATGGGCCAGACTTGAGGATGGGCCTGGGTTCCCCACAACTCCCCCGTATTTTACACTGGTTTTGCTTCCTCTTTTCCCTCCCTGCAGCTCCAGGAGTATAGAGGAGCCGGAAGGTTGCAAAACCCCTGCCCTGCAGGCTACACCCGGCCTGACCCTGCCCAGAGCCATGTACTGCCCATCTCTGTGATGTGACCGGTGCCACTTGCACACCCAGCATCTGCTCCCCTCCAGCACTGCTGCCCCAGCTCCCCTTACCAGTCTGAACCCCTACTGGAGCCAGCCCATGCCAGGGTGACACCCATCCTGCAGGGGCCAGGCTATGAATTCACACCGGATGCCTGGGTTCTATCCCAGCTCTGGGAGGGGAGTGGTGCACCCCCACTGGCCAACTCAACTCTATAGCTGCTGCCCATGTCCCTTTAAGACCCCTTGTGATCTCACAGAATCCTGATGTCAGAGGTCATGGGGTGAGGTGACTGTTGTATCCCATGGTGACACTTGTGAAGTCAGGGCAGGGGAATCCCTGCTCCCTCTCCCCTACCTGAGGTCAGGACCAGATCCCGTCTCTCACATGGGGCTCTTGGGCTAGTGTGACACCCTTCACACAAGGACCCTGCTCCTCGCACAAGGACTGCGCCCATCACACAAGTCCTCAGGCTTTGCAAGAGGAGAGCCAAGAGGGAGGAAGGCGGCCCCTTGCATAAGGAAGCTGCCCCTCCCTCTGCAGCGCCATGGCCTATGTGGTAGTGAAAACCATCTGGCAGTCGAAGGAAATCAATGAGGCTGGGGACCCGCCCTCTGGGGCAGAGACCCAGGCCCAGAGTGCCAGGGACCTGCTGGGCAAGGCTGGTGCCAAGGCCCTGCTCAGGAAGAAGAAGGCGGTGTCTTTTCATGGGTGAGGGGGGTGGAGTTGTGCCCAGGTTAGAATATGGTCCTGGGATGCCTGGGTTCTGTGCCAGCTTGGAGGGACAGGCCCAGAGACCAGACACCTGCTTGGAGGGACAGGCCGGGAGCCCAGCTGCCTGGGTTCCATCCCAGCTCTGGGAGGAACTGGAATCTGGGAGGGACCGGGATGCAGCAGGGACAGGGCTCAAACCCTGGATGCCTAGTTTCTGTCCCTGCTCTGGGAGGGATTGGGATTGAGCAGGGAAGGAGCTGGGAACCCAGATGCCTAGGGCCCTTCTCAGCTCTGGGAGGGATCAGGATCTAATAGGGAACAGAGCTTGGAGCCCAGACACCTGGGGTCCCAGTTCTCCTGGCACCAGTCTGGACTTGAGACCCATGTTGTGGCTGGGGAGCAGGCAGCATAACTAACCACCATCCTCTCCCCACCCACAGGGTGGAGCCCCCCCTGGCCAGCGAGGGCCCTCCCAGCCGCCTCAACCTGAAGCGCTCATCAGCCTCGCTGCTGACCCTGACAGACGGGGAGCGCGATGACTCCACTGAGTCCATGGACGACAGCCCCTCCCGCGGCCCATTGCACCCACCGGACCCTGCCGGCTCTGAGGATGACACTGATGCCCCCACCCCAGTGGTGAGGGGAGGGCCTGGCCTCTTCCCCTCCCCTACTCCTTCCCCCTGCTCTAGGGAGCCCTGAAACTGCCCTTGTCATGGGGACTCCTGAAGAGCGGGATGCCAGCAGGGAGGTCTGGATATGGGGTTCTCTGAAGAAGGGGGGGATCTTCTGATGGGGTCTTTGTGGGGGGAGCAGGGATGTGCTGGGGGATCTCTTAGTGGCACCTATGAAGGGAACTCTTTGCAGGGGGTAGGCAGGGGGGCTCCATGCTGGGGCCCCAGGCAGAAGGAGGAGGACTCCACATGGGGATTTAGCCCCCCCCCCGTCTCCCACAGGACATGGCAACCAGTGGCCTGGTTCGTGCCAAGGACTCGGTCACCAGTCTCAAAGAGCGGGCGTCCCGCGTCAACAGGCGAGTCCAGAGCCTGCAGGTCTGTGCCCCTTGCAAGCCCCCTCCCTCACCCAACCCTGGCACCTACCAGGACCTACCTGTGCCCCCTGACACCCCCAGGGGGCTGATCATCCCCAGGGGTATCCCTGCCTATGGGACTGTACCACTGGGAGACCACAACCCCTTCCCTACCCCCGCCACACTCTCTCCCTCCCTTGGGGCCCCATCCGAAACCAGAATCATACCCCACCTCTCCCCTACCCCTTCCCCCTCACTCCCCCTGGGGCAGGAGGCACCAAACCTGGCCCCCTCACTCTTCTGCCCCCCCACCCCCAGAGCGAGTGCTCCATGCTGTGTGAGAACCTGGAGCGGCGACGCAGGGAGGCGGAAGACCTGGAGGAGCACTGCACACGGCTGCAGGTATGGGGTGGCCTATGCTGCCATGGCTGCCCATTGGAGGCATTGCAGTGCAGGGCAGGTAGCTACAGATAGGGCGCGCTGCATCCAGCTGGGGGCTTCTGCCAGCTGCTGCCCCTCTGCCCCCCCACAGGAGAGCTGCCGGAAGGTGAGCCAGTCAGTGGAAGACGCTGAGATCAAAACCAACCTGCTCAAGAAGAACTCAGTGCTGCTGGAGGTGAGAGCAGGGCTAAGGGGACTGCTGGGGGGAAGCTTGCAGCACTGGAGAAGTCCACACCCCAGGGGCACTGTTGAGTGGGGGAAGCTCATAGTGCCAGTTCCCTGCCTAGGAGAAGCTGCGCTCACTGCAGCGCCAGGCACAGGGTGGAGACCTGAGCTGGCTGAATCCAGAGGCACTGGGTATCCCCAAGCCCTTCCTGGAGGTGACAGGGGGCAGCCTGGCTCCCCAAGGCTGCCCTGGGACACTGGAAGATGAAGAGAATGAGGAAGGCAGCACCACTGATGCCCTCAATAGCCTGCAGGAGGTGCCAGCAAGGACCTGGGACACGAGACTGGAAGGGCTGCAGCTGGAGAGCAGGTGCCAGGGGGCAGCGGGGCATAGGGCAGCCAGGGGGAGGGGTTCATGGGGACATATTGGGGGGGTGATCACTTCCCTGCCCTTGCCCCAGGCTGGGGGGCCCCCTTCTACCCCCATCCGCTTTCTACCCCCTGCCCCTTGGAGGGGGCCTTGGTGTGCAGGGGTCCCCAATCTGTAGCCCTTGGGCTGAGGGGTCCTTCTTCCAGCCCAGCCTCTCTCTGACCTGTGCTTGGCTGCTATGGGAGGGGCAGGGCAGGGAATAGAATGGGGGTCCCTGCCAGCCCAGCCCCGCTTGACAGCCCCTTGTCCCCAGCCTGGGGCCGCTGAAGTGGCTGGAACAACTGCGGGCCCGGTGGGAGCGTGACTGGCAAGAACAGAGTCAATGCCTGCAGGGGCAGCTGGACGAAGCCTCCACCATGTAGGTACCTGCCCCTCAACCCCCACTTGGACCTCCCTCACCTGTGCCCTGGGTCTCTGCCTCATCCCCCCTGCACCCCCTACCCACAGCTCCCAGACCTCCATTCCCCCAACACACTGGACCCCCACACCCTCTAGAGGCCCCCTCCTCTCTCCCCCATCACACCACCTACTATGCCCCCATGTCCAATCCCCTGCCATCCCCTCCCCATCCCCTTTGCAGCAATTGGGTTAGGCTCTTTGCAAACTCAGGCTCCTGTGCTCATGCCCAGAGCAGCTGCCTGTCTGGCTGGGGGTGAGGGACACAGAGAGGGAGCTGCCTTCTGGGCTCACTCCCCACCCCACCCCTGCAGGGCGAAGTGCACGGTGCTATCTCTCACTCAGCTCCAGTCTGACCTAGAGGAGCTGAGGCAGATCAAGCCCCTACTGGAGGACCTTTCCTGGCAGCTGGGCACCCTCAGAGGCCTGGAGGTGCCCAGCAGAGCCACCGGTGCCTGTGCCAGGTGAGGAGAGCATGGTGCATTGAGTGTGGGTCAGGAGTGAGGGGCACCAGTGGGGCTGGGAGGGTGGTGAAGGGGGCTACTGGTCCAGGAGTGAAGTGCACTGGCAGGGCTTGGTGGGATGGGGAAGCAGGGGGCTGTGGTTTGGGAGTCGGGGGCACTGGCAGAGCTATATCTGATTCTTCCCCCTCACCACCCCCAGCCAGGGCTGTGCCATCATGGAGAGCTTGCGGCAGATGGTGGAGCGTGCGGTGGCACCTGTGCTGGAGGAGCTGAAGCAGCGCGAGGGCACCCAGACATCCTGCCCTTCCTGCCAGAGGCTGCACAGCAAGATACTGGTAGTGTAGGGGACCCCCCCAAGCCTCTGTCCTTGCCCCCTTGTACCACCTCCTCAAGTGAAGGGGCCTGGCAAGAGCAGAAACCACTCTCACCAGGGCCCCCCACTCCCTTCCTGAGATCCCCTGCCTGCCACCCAGCCCCCTCCTCAGGTGAAGATTCTTCCCAACCCCAGATCTAAGACCCCCCTCCTCCACTTGACTTCCCCTCTCCCTCCACCCAGCTGCTTCCT